GTAGGACATCTCCATGATAGTAGCTTCCAGAATTACCATCTTGTCTTTTAGATAATTAAGGTGACACAGATTTTCATCCAGGATGCTTAAGCTAATTGCTAATGTCAGAGGGGTACCCTGGTCCCAGTACTCCTTAGCTACTGAATTACTTCTGCCACACCACAGTAGCGTTCTAACTGAGTGACCCTTACCTATTTTAAAGCATAAAGCCATTAATGTTTAATAGCACTTCATCTAAGAAATATAAAGATATTATATTTATTTGTTTTTGTTATTTTATAGTAGTGACTGTCATTCTTTTTTGGTGTTTTTTTTTTTGTTTTTTTTTTTTTTTTGGGGGGGGGCGGTTTAATTGAAAGAACAGAAACCAGAAACCTAGATAAACTTAAACAATTAAATAATTTTTTGCAATGTGTTGACCTTTTATTTTGTGGTAGTCCGGTCTCATTATTGGACTCTGTACTGTAAGTGTAGAGTAGTACAAAAAAAGTATTGCAGTCTGTACTAACTTTGGTTATTTATCTTAGGCAAAACTGACAAGTCTGCAAGAGCCACCATGGTACGTTGCATTAACGTGCTCTAAAGCTGTGAATTTGATGTGGATATAGAACAGCCGTAATAAGATGATAGACTATAATGGCTTGGGGGAAAAATATTAGTCGTTTATATGATATAAAGAGTCTACAGGGTGTCACTGAGAGCTCAGAGATGGCTTGGCTAGTAGTCATCAAACTTTTCTGTAGTTCAGCTTTCCTATTACAACAGGAAAATGTTTTGAATATAACAAAGGAAGGAAGAGTGCCATGTAGTTTAAGAAACTCTGTGTTATCAATATAAAATATATTCTGTCTTAGAAAATCCAGCTTCAGCTGGTAGAAGCAACCACTTCTTATAACTCCTTTATTTTATCTTGTTCCATATAAACTCAGTCTACGTTGTTTCCCCTCACTTCTCCATCAGAAGGCATGCTTGAGGACATGGTGCCTGAGATGATTAATGGGCCCTCTCATTTCCAGCCTTGACTTGCTCATGGCTGGTTGATCCCCATTCTGTTATATTCACTGTCCTTTGGCTTAAGTAGCTTTTCTATCTCAAGATATGCTTATTTGTAGATAGCAGCAATGTCACTTCTTCATCTTCATCTTACTGGACTGAGTGACCCAACCTCTCTTTTATATTCACTCACAGAATTTGGTCTTCGTTGACCTTTTCAACCAAGTCACCTTTTCTGATCTCGTTTCTGGTTTTGTTTTCATTACCTTTATCTAGTCAAGCAGATATTAGTGAGAGAAAATTGAGTCTTATTTCCACTGGCATTGCTCACCATACTATATCTGCGCTGCTCCCCTGGTCAGACAGAGGCTCTGCTCTTAGAGGCCAGGGCCAAGAGCTGTGGGACCACAGCCAGGAGAAGAAGTAGGACAGGCCAGGGAAGGCCTGGGAACATTTCAGTAATTGTTAAAGTTCGTGAAAGGGGAATGGGTATGTTGGAGGGACGGAGAGGAGAACTGATGCAATTAAGCTGAGCATTTCATGAGTTTACTGTTGTTCTCTCTGGCCTCAGTTCCCTAAATGGGTTTTGACAGAGTTGACTAGCAGCTGGTGACCTAACAGCCAAAGGTTTATGCAGTGTCTCGAAGGAGCATCACGGTGCCCACTAACATCCCTGTCAATGCTTTTGAAGGAGCAACAGTATTAAGAGACTCTCTCGTAACAATGATGTCTTCTTTTGTGTGTGTATGCTGCAGCTGGTAATCCCTTCAACAGCGGTTCTCTGCCCAAATAGCACGGGCACCTCCTCAAAGCAGGGGTTACTTCACCACTTCCTTACTTCACCACCTCCTTAAAGCAGATCAGTGGTCCTTCAGTTAGAAACTCGGGGACTTTTCTGATATCGTCTGGTAAGAGAAAGATGTAAACTAGTGTCATCCTGAATGTCTAGAGACTGAAGGAGAATCTTCATAGGGACCATATGGAAATAAATCAGACAACTAAGTGATGATCAAAAACTACTGAGCCTGGCTTGCCCTTGCCTTGCCTCATTTCGTGCCAGGTTGTTGGAATTAAGACTGCAGCAGCGTATCAGCATATCAGAAACTCAGCTGTTACAACAAGAAGAGCACCATTAAACTGCATGCAGCTTTGCACCACTTTAGGATTTGTTAATTTGTCCTTTACTTACTCCCCATCAAATGAATTATCTTCGTTCTGTAGTTATTTCAGGGCAATGTAACAGATTAAAAAGGAAACTTCTCTGGCTTCTTCCAGGTTTTCAGATTAACCCTAACTATTAGCAAGACTGGTATGAAGAAACACCCCTAAACTGAAATCGTGTGAACATGCAGAATGCATGTCCCAGTTCTCGCCCACATAGGTTGTGAGCAGCACCCATTCATTTTGCTGGCTATTACTCATAGTCTGCAATGTGGGGTAAGTAATCAGACCCTTAAATCACTATACTGCTTTTAAGCAAGTCAGCTGGAGTGAATCCCTGTTCATCTGCTTGGGAGTGTTTGTTTGTTTTTTGCAAGCTTTTCCATGGCATCACTAACTCTGCTAATCTATAGAAAAGAGGAAACCATTGCCTGTTCCAGAGAAACACTAGCTTTGTTTAGCTTGTTTCATCAGTAAATCCACGGGAGAGTTTTCAAAGCCGACTGCCACTGCTCTTAGTTGTTTCCTCTTGCTCTATTTCACTGTCTTAAACCTCCAAGTTGTTGGTCAATTAATGTGACAGGAACCCCGTAGGTTATGTTTGTTCATGGTAGACATGTCTTCTTTCATTAGCCCAGCCTTAACAGCTGCAGAGTTTTAATGTCTTAGCCCCTGTATAACAGCCTGTTTGCAATGAAATGCTAAAGCAGTAAAAGCGTGTGCGTTGGGGGCGGGGGAGAGGCTCACGTAAGAGCTGAGGGGGAATATGTTAATGCACAAAACCTCAGATTTTCTTCTGTACTGCTGATTTTTGTTTCAATCCCTATTCATTCCTGAATCTCAGTTATTTCCCTGTCTCCCGTAATTGTAGAGAGCTGTCCTGACCCTTTTGTTATTCATGTTGGGTGTTCTGGCTAAAGGTTTTGCTGTCACTCTAAGGAATTTGAAGACTGCACACACATTTAAATGTTTTGGAAACAAAGTTGCTAGCCTTGAATTTAAAAATCTGACTATTAGCAGTGATACATGAAAATTATCTTTCATTAGCTAAGTTTCTCACTGTTCATTAAGATTTCCCTGTAACTGTAATTTTTTAAAAATTGTTTTTATTTTTTGCTGTATTTACAAAGCTTTCTTTGAATCTTGTCAGACAGTTTAACTTCCTAAATCAATAGGTTTGCCTATGAAAAATGTTTACGGTACTGCTTTGTTATCATTAAATGTTCCTGGAAGTTAATTAGTAAGAGATTGCATCTTACTCATTCCATCTTTTAGGAAGCTGCTTCAAAGAATTCTCCAACTATGCCAGTGCCTGACAGTTCTAATCCCAAGTGCCTAATATTTTCCAGTGATACTCAATTTTAGCAATCTGATATGGCCATTAAATATTGAAGGCCAAAATTAATGATACATTTATATAATTGTGCATAATTGTACTATCTATCTTTGCAGAACTTTTTACAAGAGATGCATAAACAGGAATATTTCAAAATTATGGTGGAAATCAGAAAGTATTTTTTTAAATCTACCTATATGAAATTTAAATATATCATTGCACATCAAATTTGGGTAAGCAAAATTATGGTGAACTGCCTAATATTACTCTAGATTTCCCAGTTAATTGCACAGACACTTTGTTTATTCATGATAAAAGTAAGTATTCTTTACATTTTTTAGGAATATTATTTAACAGTTTCTTTTCTTTTGTATCGACACGTTTTCAGCATAACACAAGCATGCAAACCCAAGAAAATAAATGAATTAGAGTGCAACAGGGCACCTAATCTTTCTCCAATTGAAGTTAATGGGAGTTCTGCTTTGAGTTTGAACTGAAGTTGAATTTATTGGAAATAGGATTAGGCCAAAATGTATACAGTCTTCTTGCAAATTTCTTTTTAGGAAATTTAATTATAAACAGGATAAAATGATAGGAAATTATGTTTCATGACAGTACAAGATTTCTATTCATGCATAGAATGATGGTTATTAAAGCTAGAGAACATATGCATTGCTCTGTACTTGCTCCTTACAGTATATAATTGAGAGCTCTGTCCAATCCATCTTTAAATCATTTAAACAATGAAACTTTGGCCATTTCTCCTGGCCTGCAGTACACTGTCCTACAGGATGTTTCCTATGAAATTAAGCCTGGATTTTCCTGTGAATTTTTTCTAAATGAAATGTTGAAAATAGATTATTAAAGGCTAACTATTGTAGTGAAGGTCAGTTTTGCACAGGCTCTGGTAGTCTGAAGATTTCAGAAACAGTCTCTTTGAACTCACAGTACAGGGTGACTTTATGTGCCTACACCCCATCAAAATTTCACTTGAAAGCCTAAGTCCACAAAAACAGTTGTTGGGACATACTCCATTCAGTAGATGCCTAATCCACAGGGTTCCTAAATTTTGTAGATATGGAAGGTTTCGGTCCCCTGCATGCTTGATGAACACGTGATGTGGGCGTAGGTTCCTACTTCTGCTAAAGAAAGACTCTCCCATCTCTCCCTTTTTGACTTAAATTCCAACCCCTGTGGTGGAACTGATCTTTCTGAAAAACATCCCTTAGAAAAATGGGGGGGGAAGGGGTTTAGTTTTACATATCGGTCAGTTCCCCAATTTTTTTTCCACTCAGCGTTGCACAGATGCTTGCATGGGCCCCCAGGAGAGGATGACACCAAGCTGAAATGAATATTTGTAGGCAGAAAAACAGAAGGATGTACCTTTGGGATGCATGCTAGATGATAGTTCAGCAAACACTGGAAGCTAGGTTCTGTCTGGGATGCTTCTTTTGGTGGTGCTCAGCACCATGGTGCTTAACTGTCTCCTACACTGATACCCCTAAACTAGGTTTTCCTTTGCCTTTGTCAGTCAAGGGGCTAGACTTGACTGGTGTTTCCGAGTACAAATTGAGCTCTCTTTAGCTATGAAAGCGTATAAACCTCTTCCAGAGAACAGCTTAATGGTAAGAGCTTTCATCCAATGTACAACAAATTAATTCCTCCTTTAGCCTGAGTGAGTTCAGGCCTTCATCTTCCGTCTCTAAGAAGGCTGCCATCAACAGGGGACCAGGGGACTTTTGAAGGAGATGAAGTTTTCCCACTCTCCACTGAATAATGGACTGTACTCTTGTGGCTGTCCTTTTTTTTCCCCTTTTTTCCTTTTTTTTCTTTTTCCAGTCAGCACCTGTATTAACTTGCATTCCCTTTTCTCTTTCCCAGGTAGCCTCTCTCGGAGTCACCACATTCACCCTCTGTGCCCTCTGCATCGACCGATTTCGTGCCGCCACCAACGTGCAGATGTATTACGAGATGATCGAAAACTGCACCTCGACGACGGCCAAGCTGGCCGTCATCTGGGTGGGCGCGCTGCTGCTGGCCCTGCCGGAGGTCGTGCTGCGCCAGCTGGCAAAGGAGGACCCCGAATACAGCGGCAGCCCCCCGGGGGAGCGGTGCGTGGTGAAGATCTCCACCGCGCTGCCTGACACCATCTACGTGTTAGCTCTCACTTACGATGGGGCAAGGCTCTGGTGGTACTTTGGCTGCTATTTTTGTTTGCCTACCCTTTTCACTATTACCTGCTCCCTGGTAACGGCAAGGAAAATCAGGAGGGCGGAAAAGGCTTGCACAAGAGGGAACAAGCGACAAATCCAGCTGGAAAGTCAGATGAACTGCACAGTGGTGGCTTTGACCATTTTATATGGGTTTTGCATCATTCCTGAAAACATTTGCAACATTGTGACTGCCTACATGTCCACAGGGGTCTCTCGGCAGACTATGGACCTCCTCCATCTCATTAGTCAGTTCCTCTTGTTCTTTAAGTCCTGTGTTACCCCAGTTCTCCTTTTCTGCCTCTGTAAACCTTTCAGCCGAGCCTTTATGGAGTGTTGCTGTTGCTGCTGTGATGAATGCATCCAGAAGTCTTCAACAGTGACAAGTGATGACAATGACAATGAGTACACCACAGAACTGGAGCTCTCCCCTTTCAGTACCATCCGTCGCGAAATGTCCACTTTTGCCTCTGTGGGGACCCACTGTTAATTGACCTTAGGACTTTATTTCCCGTATCTTTTTCTTTCCTTTTTGCTTCATACTTTTCTTCTTGAAGCAAAATGCAAGGAAAAAAAATTATTATTGAAACCTATTCTGGAAACCAATCCGCATATTAACAGTCGTGCTTTGGAAAATAATTTGTTTGGTTATTAAAATGAAAGAAAGAGAGAGAAGGAGAGCCAGCACTCAGTTTTAAATCATGATATTTTGTATGGTGCTAGGATTTTATTGTTTGGGGAGGAGAATCCATATCAATCCACTTTTATTTAATTCCATAGTATTTTTTTGATAATCACTGTAAAATGATTATATAGACACTGTGGGTTTTGCAAGATGTTTCATGTAAAAGGTGTGGTGGAAAGTATTTGAAGATAGTTTTAATCCAATTACTGTAAACTATTGTGAGAGGACCTGGACTTCAGAAAATTTATGAAGTAGCATAAAAATAAATGAGGTTTTATTCTTTAACTTCATTGTCAATCTGCATTTAACAAGGACACCTAGAAGTAGTATTAAGTTCCTTTAATAAGTAAAAAAATCTTTGCTTTGCATAAAATAATTTAAACAGCCATATTTAATTCACCATTCATGTACTTACCCTTGGAGGCTATAATTACAGTGTTTAAGGAAGATGGCTATAATGGTATTAGATTTACATGAGTGGTTTTTTTAATGTATATTACAAAGGTTCAGTGTGCCTCATTGAAAAGTTCCTTCTTAACCTGCAGGTATATAAAACCTGAGTTATTTTGTACTTCTTGTGAAGAAAGATTTGCTTTCTCACTAAATTTTGTCTTGTGTGGTTTCAAAAACAAGTTTCTTTCCAATTTTTCTTTCCAAAGTTATTGGTTTTACATTGAGATTCTCAGTCTCTGTATATATAGCTCCAACTGGCTTCAGAGAGAGTCCCACTGCAGAGGAAGGCATTCTTTTGCCAGAGGTTTGCTGACAATAAATGTGAGGGACTGAAACATGTGGAGAGTGAATTCCTTCTTTTTTAAAAGGTATAAACACACTTGGACGCTTGGGGCTTGACCCAGAGCCCATTGCAGTCAATGGAAAGATTTCCATCAATTTCAGAGGGCTTTGGATCAGACTGGCATCTCCTATTTATTCTGGGATATGTAGCATGAATATTAATCATGGGGGCTCTGTATACCGATTATAAATCATGGTGCTCTCACAGAGACTGCTATTCACTAGCAGCTCACAGCTCTGAAGCTGTTTTTGAGAACCACGGCGTGTTTTGCTGATGGCTTCTTGCTGTCTGCAGAGTTATTAAAATGAGGGTATGTCAACACTGCCAGCAACAGCGCGATACAGTAAAATCTAAAGTTGTTCTAAGCAAGCCAGGTTGGGGACTGGAAAGTGCCTATCTGAACCAGCAGAGCTTATTTGCCCCACTTCTTGGCTGAAGTAGACAGACTGTTCTTGGCAGGCAAGCTGGCTTGTGTTTACACTGGGCAGCGGACTGAAGTGTAGACACATGCTAAGGAACTGAATTTGTTATAATTAGCTTATATTTTAATACTAATTAAATAAATAATACAATTGCAATACTATGTGCAGAAGTAAAATCCCATGCATTTGTCCTTTGAAATTAACAGTGACTGTAACTGATGTAGTCTTACTTCCCCATACCTGCCTCTAAATATGTTAAAGAACTTGCTGTAACTTCTGGAAAGGAGTCTACTTTTTATTTGTAGATTCTGGACTTAATATGTTTAATCTTTGTATCTGCTTGGACAAGCAGTATTTCTTCTTTTTCTTTACCATTTTAATCTATAATAATTTCAACTGAAAAGCAGTTGAAATTAATTAATCTGAATATGAATCCAAATATATATATACACTTGAGTTCTTTTTCTGATTTTTGATTCAGACATTGGACCCTAGCAAAGCAATCTGCTTTAAGCACAGACCTAAATTTAAATATGTGTTTCTGTTTAGGACTTGCTAAAATACCTACGTTTTTAAAATAGTTTTGTAAGATGGTCAATCGCTTCTGAAGATGGGGGAACTGTCCCTTCTTTATAAACCCTTCACTGACTTCACATTGCTTGATTACATTCAATAAACTATGAAAGGTATTAAAGAGAAAGATAAAACCAAAATCTCCTCACTGTGGTGCCTGTGTCTGCTCAAATACATATTCCCATCGCTGCATTTTGATTTGTACTATGCTTCTTTTTTAGGTGCCAATATTTATAACGAATGGGAATAAAACCTCCCCTTTTGTTCCTTCATTGTGTTGCTTGCTGAATTGTTTCTCTCAGCTGCCTTTTCAGTCCCAGCATGAGCAGTGGCTCAAGGACCTGAGAAAGGAACAGCAGAATGGGAGGAAGCACTTTTTTTTTAAAGAAGGAAATATAGAAATTACTTGGGAATATTAAATTATGACATTTTGCCAACTTGGGTGCAAGACTGCACTGGGGCAGGAAAAGTCCCCCATTGCCTTGGACGTTAGGTGCTTCCAGCTTTCCAGTCTGCAGTGGATACATGTAAGCTCTGCCAAGGAATGCTGCTCGCTCCCAGGTTAAACGCTCTGTGTCCCAGAGTGGTGCAGTTGGCTTCTCTATTGAAACATTTCCACAATATGTGTGTGCTAATCCTACTGGAGAAAAAAATATCAGCAAAAAAGAGATTTAGAAAGTCATTGGAGAAGGTAGAATTTGAAGATCAGTAATGCTGTGTTTGGAAATAACCCTCCTGCTTGTGTGGTGGAGCATTCTCCAGCCTTGTATTCAGCGCGGCTTCTTTGTACCCAGTGTAACCTTGCCTTTTCTGCTGCTGAAAGAGCATTTTTCACAGCTATTTCTCCCCCCTGCCTTGGACCTCCATAGCAATCGGACATGCAAGACACCCTTTCATTCTAATTTGTTCTCTAAATTGGTTAAACTAATCCCACATTAGCAGGTTTGCATTGTCGCAGCCATTCTGATGCAGGTGTGGCTTGTTAATGCATTTAAGTGTCATGATAAATGATTCCTTTTGTTAAAGATGGGGAACTGCATTGCTTTTCTTCCTACTTTTGGGATTGATGGTCTGAACTCTTGAAATTTTCCTGGTGTTTGCTTTTCTTTCTTTAATATTCTTAGAAGCCATTTCTGTCTGTTTTGAATCCAGTTCTGTAAGGCATTTGTCTATTAAAAAGAGGGCATTTAATGGACTGATGAATGAAGATTTGGAAATGTTTGTGGCAAGGATTTAATTCTTTTACATAGAATAGAGAAACATGCAGAGCATGGTGATCAACATAAAAGAAGAGTGATGGAATGGAAAATCAGATTGTGAAGTGGGAAAGCCTTATACTTCTCAGGTATGTAAACCTTTAATACATTAACACTTATTGTCCCAGCCCTGGTCCCATTAAGAAATTAAAAACCATAAAACACTACTATGAGTTCCAGTATCTCCAATGAGATCATGTTTCATGACCTGTATCAAAAATATGACCTTTGTGTAGGCCAAAGTACAAACGATAAAGTATTGACAAATTTTGCTCAGTTAGAAGAAATCTCTTATTTTACCCCTTCCCAGATAAATTCCTGCATCCAACCTTAAATAACTCCTGCCCTTAAATCACCTCACTGACTTGCTCAGCTCCTGTTCTGTCATTAGGACCCACATGTAAGCTTCCACAGCTGCTGTTCCAGCAGCTCTGGGAATGGCTTCTAAAGACCATGCAGAGGTTTCCAAGCATGTTGTCCTACATCTCTTCATAAGAAATTGTGTGATGTTAGGCTGCATGGTGAGACTGCCATATTGTGCTCATGGCACTCAAAGGCAAACTAGATTCTATGAAATGTAAGTTGCTGTTGAAACTCTGAGTAGCTTCTCCAAATTCGTTAAACAACAAGAGTATTCAAAATCTCTCCCAGGATCTGTGAGCCGTTGTCTTAGGCACAGTACAAATATATGCAACTTGCCCTATGTGCGCCTAACTGCTGTTGATGTTCTCAAATACATCAGTGAACTGCTTCTGGGCTTTTTTTGCCAGGTGACATTAACAAAACTCACAAAACACTTACATCATCCCCTTGTTACTGTGGTGGAATTAAGACTGAAGGCAAAACCTGCTCAAAATAAGTGTCTCCTTAGCTGGGCCCAGCCTTGTGTGTGTATGAAGAGCACATCTAAGGTGGCTGCAGACTGCTGGTAGATACAGGCTTAGCACAGTAGCATCAGCATATATATGTTTGTGCATGTTCTGGTGAATCAAAAATTTAGGTGCTGTTATTTCTAGGATGGAAGAGCTAGATTCAAAGTCCTGCTCTGCTTAATTTATAGCTAAGACTTGAATTTGGTCGTTCAAGATCCCATCAGAAAGGCATAGCCACTGTGGTGATAGATATGCTGGAGTTGTTCCAACTTTTTTTGGTAATTAAATATTGAAGTAGAGACTTCAGCCTCAGTACCAACACCGCTGACCTAAGCCACTGTGCTGTAGAAACAATCTCTTTTGTTCACTCTCTGGTCCATGGAATGTTTCTAAGGGGAACAGCTACTGTCAGAGAAATGGAGAAACTGTGACTCAAAAGTAGCCTCCAGGTTGGTTGGTAAAATGCTCAGCTGACAAATGAGCAGTTTTCAAGTGCCTGAACTAACCCAGACATTTGAACCCAAGCTTGTTTTGGAATATATATGCTACCCATGGCCATATTGATTCTTCTGTGGTAGAAAGTTGTGGATTTTTGTGTCTCCTGGATGGGGAACTTCAGACCTACCTGAGCAAATTGTTTGTTTCAGGTGACTAATGGGAGAGGAGTCACAGTGGGTGAGCTTAAGCAGAAGGAAGTCTGATGCCTTGTTCATCTGCATTTCTCTCTTGCCCAGCTCTTTTCCATCTGTTGGTTTCTGACGGTCTTTCCTCAGATAAAGATATTTTGCAAGCAGTGCGGCAGCACTCCTGAAAGTTAAGCAGGGCAATGCTGGGCATTTGCCACATACACACCTTTGAAACTCTAGGCTGCAATGCCTCTGCTTCCGGAAGATTATAGCACGTATGGATGAGGTTGTGCGTTACCTTTATTCTGGAAGGGAGAACCTATGAAGTGAACTGCCTGCAGAAAGCTGGCTCCCCTCAGGTCTGTAAAAACCTAGACCTAATGATTTGTCCAGATTACAAAGGCAAACTAGGATCTCAAAGTAGATCTTCCATGTCCTAACTTCTTATGTCTTCATCCTGAAAATACCCTTCTTTTGCAGGCTGGAAATATAATAAGTGACAAGTAAGGTCCATTTTCCTAATAGCACTGAGAAATGTGATTAGGAAGAGTTATACCAGGCATTTTCTCTGATAATGCCTCTTTTCCTTTTTTTTCCTTTTCTTCTTTCCAACCTTTCTTTTTCCCTGAAAAGCTCAGCCAAAGTCAATGTGAGCAGATGATGTGAATCATTAAAACTTAACAGTATCCTACATGCACTTTCTTATGCTTCAGGAACTGAATTTTTTCATGAATGTTTTGTATTTGATGGAGTCATTTAACACCTATGCTTAGCAGATATCAAATTTTCAAAAGCTGGGTATGTTTTGTAGTGAATAAGAAACAATGGAAAAGGCACGGACTGAGACGCTTCAGGACACCCAGGCATCTCTGCTATAGAAACACTGGCTCATGTTGAGGGCTAAAGGTTCATCAAACAACCGGGAGGAGAGCTGTATTTAACCATGTACTGCATTTATCCCCTGAAATCCAGGCTACTTGCTCTCCCTGTGATACAATTTGGTAGGTTCAGTTCTTGGTTTTCAGGCAGTAAAAGTTGGGACGAAGACTCCCTGGCACCTTCAACATGTCCATGACAGCACTGAGAGCCGGTGTCTCCCGCTGGTGGCACATTCCCTACGTCATGTCACCCGGAGTGCCGGGATCCATATGCCTGGAGCTGTCCCAGCCTTTTTCAAAAATGAGGTCAAAGATTTCTGTCCTTGTACACTTTAGCTTTAGTTTTGCATCACAGCTTCTTACTGCCAAAAAAATAGAAGACAT